GAAGTTTTAACTAAATTTGACATTTTATTTCAGGTCAAACCTAACCCAGGATATCTTGAGAGGGATCAGGGGCTGTAAAGAGAATTCAGGAAATGGTATGTTACAACACACACACACACACACACACACTACACAACACAAACACAAGTACATATATATATGGTAACATGCATCATTTTCATTTTGAGCATGTTTAGTTACTTAATTTTACCTCCCATCACCCTTGATTAGTTGCCTGAGTCTCTCTCTCTCTCTCACACACACACAGATTATGAGGTGAAAAAAGTCCAACACATACTGTTCTCTCTTTTCTTTGCCTGAAAACTCAAGCATTTACAAGCCATTATGGGATTTCATAGGCGTACGGTCCTTACCCATCCCCCAGGTCCCAGAGTACACATTTTAATCAGTTCCTCTCTTGCTGGAGGTCAGGCGGTCGTGCTGGCTGCATTGCGGGGCTCACCACATTTAAAGAGGCTTATGAAATGTGATGGAAAGTGATGCTGAAAGGTTGAGCCGCACAGGTTGCTCACCTGCACTTTGAAACCGTAACCTAGGTGACCTGACATCTCCCTCTACATCCATCTCTCTGTCCTGCTGCATTTTTGTCATGCTGTCTCTCTCACATTCTCCAGCCCTTTATCTCCCTCTCTCTACCTCATCTCACACTTGTTTTTTCTCTTTTATAGCTCCATCTCATGTCGCTTGTCCTCTCTTTTTTGCTCAGTGGTCCATCGGAGGCGTTCTGTGATGGCAGGTGACGATGTGCTGCTCCAGTGCGAACTGCGTTCCAACCTGGCAACTCCGCGCTGGACGCTAAACGGCAAAGAGCTCCAGGGATACGGCCTCAATTCGGGCTACCGCATCGGCACAGATGGCCTCCTCATAATCGGAGCTCGTGCCCAACAGGGCGGGTCTTATCGCTGCTTTGCTGTCGAGAACTCCGTCTCGGTCCTGGTTTATCTTTACACAGTCAGGGTGCACACAGACTCGTACTTCCCCGTGGAGCCCACAGCCACAACCAACCCTACTACGGTTTCTAGCCCGACTGTTTTCTCCACCAGCAGCCCCACTGAGCAGCCTCTGCCCTCACCTCCCGCCCCGCTGCCTCCAGGACCTGAGTTCCAGACCTACAAGCACATGGAGGCTGTGTACATTTCCCTGGTGGCGGTTCTCGGGGGGCTTTGCTTGGTGTTGACTGTGGTGCTGCTTTATGTGAGCTTCTGCACCAGACGGGCCCCTCAGGACCGAAAGTTCTCCCAGCAGGGGCTGCATGTCCTGGGCACCTCTGAGAGGAAGAGGAGCTCCCATCTCGAACTTAAGACCATTTCCAGCCACTGCAACGGACGCCAAGGTCGTCGGTCCATCTCGGTGCCATCCTTCGGGGACTTGGGTGATGGCTTCCTCCAGATAGTTCCAGGCGAGGGCCAGTTGTCTCCAACCAAAACACCTCCCCCAGCCCCTCCCCTTCCTATGCCTCCTCCGCTGCCCAACATGGACTACGCCAACGGGCTGTCGGCCACTCTGCCCAGCGTGCTGAGGAAGATGAACGGGAACAGCTATGTGCTCCTGAGGCAAGGCGACTCCGAGGGCATGTCGCCGCTCTACCACTCCTTCACAGAGGAGCTCAACAGGATCCTGGAGAAGAGGAAACACACACAGCTGGACCTGCAGCCTGATGAGAGCTCCATCTAGGGCACCCCTCTCAGTGTTTGTCCCGCAGTTATTTATTTTTACCCCAACAGTGACCCGTAGTTGTGGGGAGAACTGACCGTTGTATCAAACGCTGCTGTTATTTACCCGGTGTCAGAGTACCTGCAGGTCGTGTCCTAACCTGATCTGAAATGTGCAGCCTCCTGTGTCTCCCATGACAAATGGCCCATGATTTCACTTCAACAATGGACTACACAAACCAGAGACTGCTATTCAAAAAGTAGAGCTGTGAAAAAAATTGTTCCATAGGCTGCACTGTTACAAGATTACTAGGGAGCTACCTCGGTGTAAACTCTCTAGAGACTGTTGAAAGATGGTGGTCAGATGACACAAAAAGGCAAAGGTGCAAAATAGGACATGGGTAAAAACAACAAATCGGGCCAGGAGGTATTCACGTATTTTTGAGACTGTGGAAGTGTTCAGGAAGTTTTTAGTGCCATGTAATAGTAGCCCTCTACGGAGCTTAAAGAGATAATCCACACAAAATCTCAGTCTGTTGTTCATTGTTACATGGCTAAGCCTTATTTTAAAATATGGCCTACCTTCCACCTAATATGCCCACAACCTGAGAGCCTGGCCCTGGTCTGGGGTAGAACATGTTTGACTCATCCGTAGTCACAGGACTGGACTCACAAATGTCACGCAAAGTCCATGTATGAGGCTGATGGTGATAGTGTCTGTCTCAGCTTTTAGTTCTCCTGGTTTTGAGCAGTTCGGGGTCAATTTATGGGCAAAATAACCAATTGGGCAAAGCCAATTGACCCTTTCAGATGGTATACCATCTGCAGGTCTCACATCAGTTGCATCCCCAAAATCTCCTCCAACAAATCCACTAATCTACCAAACTGAAGGCCTGCTGGAAGACTTATCATAACTGCTTTTCTTTAACAAGCTCAAGTATATTCAAGCATTCAAAAAGCATGTAATTAAGATTATGCTACTAGAATCAGTTAAAGAAGTTTCATGCTTTTTTTAACAGTGAAAACTTTATCCAAATTAGAAAACCATTTCTTCAAATTGGTTGGATTCATTGACCAACAGCCTGAACCACCAAGGTATATAATTAAAAAGAAAAAGAAAATCAGCAAATCCTCACATTTGAGAAGCTGAAACCAGCACATTTGTATTTTTTTCTTCTTGACTCACAATGAATAACAAACTAATTGTCCTGAATTAAATCTGACTATGAGTCTTTGTCCTCTGGGAAAAAGCAAACTGGTGTCATTATACAGCCACCTTTCAAGCTCACAGAAGGTGTTTGAGATTTTATGTGGAGTATCACTTTAGAAAGCCAGTTCTGTTGCAGTGCATGAGAGCTCAGGTGGTAAGACAAATCATGCATTCCAGTTTATTTAAACAACTCTTTGTTCGTGTTCCTCTGTTCTTGTGTGAATTGCAATAATTAAATCACTGTTGCAGCTGTTGGTAGCAATGTGTTGTGCCAGTGCCAATGGAAACACTTGTAGCAAACTGTGAAATAATTTTGATTTCTTTTTCCTGGCATCTTTCTGTTTTTAGCATCTGTGTAATAAAGGAGATACAGCTGTATGACGGTTGTAGTTCTGCTTAAAGACCACAGAAGGAGCAGTTTGTGGTCAGTTTAATTGAATTCACTGACAACCACAGGCTGGCTCCAGGGCCCGGGAGGCTGAGAGGACACCACAACGAGATACTGTAAAGAAAATGCTCATTTTAATTTCATATTTAAGCAACTAAACATACTTTGTTTTCGTTAGACATTTATTACACATTCAAGATTTTGCTTCCTCCTGAGACGTCAAGGCTTTAGTGTCATGCCACTGATTTCAAAGACAGATGAAAAACTTGATTATTTCAAAATGTTACAAACAGGCAACGTGTTTTTTGTCTATTATGAGTTACAGACGCAGGTTTTGGGTTCGTTGTGACAAGTCGCTGAATCAGAATAGAGCAGACCTTCACACACGCTCCCACAAAGGCATCCTCTGTGTTTACCTGACACCAGAGCAATGCCAAAACAACAAGAGCTGCAGAACCTACAGTATTTCCTTGAACAGGTGAACGGCGATATGATTAAATAGCACACGTATAACTTAGAGGGAAGTGACTGAAATGAATCTCTGAGTGGTTTGTAAACGTGTCACGGCCACTGGTAAATAAAGATCCGTCTTTCCAGCAAAGTGTTGAATCAGCTCTTGTAGCGGTGGCTCAGCAGCAGCCCTCTATGGTGACTCGCAGCATGCATTTGTCAGAGAGTCGCTGACAGTAACAGCAGTGTACTTGGCTCGCCTCCACAAAGAGAGGGGGGGGGGGGNNGGGGGGGGGGGGGGGGCTGCTTCTTGTCTGTTTGCATAGAGTGTTGTCGTTTCTGCAGGTAGAAGCAGACAGAGAACATTTGACCTGAGTGTCCTGGTTAGCCATGCAGGAAAACAGATGATGATACGAATAGGCGGCAGCTATTTTGCACTTGCAGTTCTTCTTGTCTGCCTTGTAAAACACTTTATTCTGAACCTTTTTTGATTGAGAATATAGTCAAGGGAAGCACTTTATGCAGACTGATAAATGTCCTGGTCCGGATGGAATAAATTCTGTCTATTCGAAGGCCTCTCAGTACGATCCAAATAAGCACTTATCTGCTTGCTTGCATGCTTATGAGGCCCTTTTTTGAGTCTTTGCAAAACAAATTTTCTGTCACCTTTTGTATGTACAGCTGGGTTGAACACTATGAATATCGTTAGGAGAGACTGTCCAAAATAGTGTGCGCCCTTATCCCCTTTTGTACGATTCAGTGTCTTGTCCATCTCTATGACAGCAGACATTTTGGCCTTTCAAAACAGGTATAAACACTTTCATACAATACCTGACCTACTTCATTATAAGTATACTGAAATTTTAACCCAACTGTAACTCCACTGGTCATCTCTCTGTGACATGCCAGGCCTTTTGCTTTTATTAATAAAGGGGAAAGATAGGCTTCAATGTAGCAGTTGTAGTCTCTTTTCTAATCTCAGACTTTCCGTTGTTGGCCCAATGCTTAGAGTCTGTTCGGCCGTGCATTTTTTCAAAATATCAGACAGAATTTATTATAAATAGACTTTCTTTTTTTGATTCATGAAATTGTTTCATATCATCATTTAATTAATGCCAAAAGTGCTTTAGTTTGAGGGGAGTGAGCTTAAAAATGTAAAACCCTAAGCAAATTTAGATATGGAAAATTACTATTATGACTCGGCTAAAATTTCTGTATTCCTCACTATAGGCCAGTGTGCGCTCCACTAGCAGTTACTCTAAATATTTTCCTTTTGGCCGTGGCACAAACTAGGGCTGTCCACTTTTCCCGTAGCTGTTTGTCCTTACAGATGAAGCTAAATATGGGCATTATTTGGGGAAGAGCTGAAACAGAACATTTTGCTATATGCAGATGAACTGCTTTTATTATATATCCTTTCGCACAGAAATATCTGTTTATAAGTTGAATTTAGGCAAGAGAGAACTCCTTTTGGTTAATGTTACCGCCCAAACTTTGCCATAACTTACAGTTTAAGATCTCCTGAGAATACATATTCAGGGGAAGTGTTCAGTGCTCCCTGGCTGTTGGACGTGACATGTGTGTCCTGGCTAGCCGTGCAGAGAACAGATGACGATACAACTGGACGTGTTGGCAGAAGCTACTTTGCATGTTTTCCAGTTTTCTTCTTGTCAGCCTTTTTAGCCCTTTAACTAGTTTTCATCCTCATCTTCATTCCTCCCCCCTCTCTCCCTCTATCCCTCTCTGCTGCCTCTTTTGTTTTCCCGTCTCATCACCTCTGTGTGACAGTATCATCTATTACTCTCTCTGCTCACATTCACACTCTCTCAAGGACCCTGCTGAGTTTACAAATGGCCATGATGGCCCCTAATCAGTTAGGACCAGAGTCCCAGACTTTGTGTTTGTCAAAGCACTGGAAAACAACAGATCTCCGCATTAGTTTAATATTACTGATACAGTAAATGTTATTCTCACATTTCTAGCAGATTTTTGTGAGATGGTTTTCAATGCACGCATTTCCAATAAGAATGAGACAGCTGAAATATGAATCATGTCCATAAAATTAAGGATTCACCCATGGTTTGGATTGCTAATCTGAATGAGTAATGGTTTTCTGATCCATGCTAAAGTGTGATTCATGTGAGCATTTTATTTTATTTCAGTCAGTTGTTGTGAAGACATGTTCTTGTTGGGTTACATTGTGTTGCAAGTTTTAAAATTTGTACTGAGTTTAACATGTTACCGTACTTATTCATGTATTATAAAAGCCTCCATCATCAAGTTTCCTCACCATCAAGTTGTGGACAATCCTTAACATGTTGAAAGCTTCATCTGAATCTGTGATCACTGCTGCTGCTTCATTCTCACTTAAGGACAACCTGTTTACAACAGACACTGACTCTGCACTGTATATTGTACATATTGGCTACCATTTTTACATTCACCTTCTACACACAACCCCACAGTGACGCACCTTTTGTCTTGTGTCAATATGCAAGATACTGTATACTTTGTAGATGTAGAATATTCATCTAGGTGTTGGCCAAAGAAACTGGAGTAAAGAGTTCACAATTTGCATTTGCACTGTTCTTTTGTAAGTACTTTGTTAAAGGTCATGTAGTATACTCTTGCAAACTGTGACACTCTCCATAAAGTTGGTTCTGTACTATATTTTGATGTAGATAATGAATTTATCTCTGTTGTTTTCTCAGAATATAACTGGCTTAAGTGACACCCTTCTTGTAAGACAGTTAAACAACCGGAGCTGTTCACAGAAATAACTTTTTTTTAATTATTGTCTCTAATGTCTTATTTATTTGAGTTCATTAAATTTCCACTTGCTTTTGTGCAGATAAAAACACTTTGCATTATGTTCAGCTTGGGGAAAAAATATCAACAGTGTGTCAACAGCCCTGAGGGGAAGTCAGGAAATTACATGCAAAACATGTTCACACTGAATCCTATTCTCAAAAGTCAGTGTTACTCTGTTTTTAGCTTGTGGCAAGCAGCAAGACCAGTCCTCCATCGGGAATGGTACCCGCATGATCCCAAAGTCATTTACATATATGACTCTGACAGAGAAGAGGTATAACATAAGTTTAGGAAGGGGGGGGGGGGGGGGGGGGGGGGGGGTAAAAATGACCATTTCAGAGCAGCTTTTCAAGGCCAAGTAACTTCATGCAAAACATGGCATCTTATTTATGTTTGTCTCTTGAGTCCTTTGTGGGTGCTGCTGTGTCCATTCTGTTCATTGGGTGGAAGACGAGGTGTGAATGGAGAGGGCACAGTGGTTCTGATACTCTGGTAAGTTTGGGTTGCCATAGACAAATAAAATGCAGAAAGTGGAGCATGAAAACAACAGGAAAACTATTTCAACATCATCAAAGCCAATTCCAGGTTTTTCTTTTTTTTGTTAAACACAGGGAAAACACAGCTAAAGCAAACCCCACTGTCTCTCCGTGAAGGGCAGTTTATTTTAACTAAAATCTGGTGATAAAAGATTGTTACAGGATACATTTTTCAAGTTTAACACGTTTATTTGGCCTTAGCAGAAAACTGTATGGTCTGAGGGTTAATTTAAGGGGATCTTATGATTCTTATCAAAAAAAATGGCAGACCTTCCAAGTCGAAGATATCTTGAGCATATGAGGGAAATATGCATTCAGTGTTCCTGCTGCAGACTCCCTTACCCGAGGCCCCGGCCCCCCGGCGGCGGGGGGGGCGGTGGGGGCCCAATTTGTCTCTCCACTCGTTCATATCATGGCCTGCTTTGCAAAATTCATCTCACTCTACATATATCTAGGCAGAAATTTCTGGTGGCGACATTTTATCTCCCAACGGTCGCTCCACTAGTATATACGGCGTAACACTGACATACTATATATAGGTAGTAGGAAGCGATATATGGATTGTATAGTAGTATAGTATACTTATGAGCTAGTATGAGTGAGTTATATTATGATAATAGTTATATATATATATGCCAGATGGGACTGTAGCATGCCATCAATGGCAGAAACACGGCAGTCGTCCTGCAGGGCACCTTTTCACGTGGCAACTCCACGCAAGACTTGCTTTCGATTTGTATTTCATCTGCGAACTGAGCTCACTTGTGTTTCGTGATGCGATGTATTGGTTGTTGTAGAAGGAACACTTGAGGTTCACTTTGTGGAGGGGAAAGCGGGTCTCCAGCCGGCATTGCCTGTTTGCAGGTCAAAAATGATCAATTCGGGGGGAGACTGAAAAAAGGCAAAGGGAGTTGTTTCCAAAACAATCCCTTTTGAATTCAACCAAATTCCACCCACCAGGAGGAGTGTTGTTAGTCGTCTGTTTCCCTTTACAGCCGATACAGATGACCACTCTGTGCTGAAGTTAAGCCGTCCCCTCAAACTACCACACAACCTCTTGTCATGTTCATTAACCTCATTTTGAAGTTGTGCAGTGATTGAAAAACATTTAACACCTCAGTATGAAACTGTTAAAAAAAAAAAGTACCTTCCCCATGTCATAAAAAATAAAAAAGCTGTACATCTCATATGTGTCTTGTCTGTTAAGTATTTTAACTGCATTTTAATTAAACTTAACATTGCAGACAGCACCACTGCAAATCAGTTTTGCTCTGTTGGTCCTTTGACAAGCTGTTCTAATACAAATCTAAATTTAAACACCAATGCATCTGCACAAAAAAACACATTTATTATTCCATACAAAGTTCCATCTTCTCCAAAGTGCTGCACTTATTACCCAAATCTACAAATAACCTTGAGATTAAAAACAGTTATCTGTCCGTTGACATTAAGCCTCTAGTGGATTCATGTAAAGTCTATTTAAATGTGGCATTCAGAGCTGGTGCTGCATGCACTTTTCTGCGCAGCTTAAGTGGCTTTGCTGCCACCAACAGACTGAAGGGCATGATAAAACATATTCAGCTGATAGTGGATAGTGCGGTGTTCTGCAGAATTATCCAACAAATACATTTGAAAATTGCTGCAAACATGAGAACCTGTGATTTGAGATTGCAGACGCTTAAAAAAAAAGGACATATCTTGTGAGAGTAACCAGAGATTCAGCACTCATTTTCTGGAAGCATCCATACTTTTTGACTTTGTTCAGTCTTTATTCAGTCCTGTTTCTGTGGTCTGATGGGGCCGATAGACGGGGGCCGGTTGGTGAATGGGTGCCACTGGCCCTGGATGCTGGGGTTGTCTGTGTGGATGGGTTTGCGGATGCGGATTATGTCCAGGCCAGACTGATTGGTCAGCTTGGCCAAGAGCTCCGAAATCTGCGGAGAGGTTTTGTTTGTGATAATTTCTTCCCTCACGTTGCCGTTTACTGCAGGAAGGGAAAAGAGGAAATAACTGAGTGACTTATGAACATACTTCTCTTACTGACAAACCTGCCTGTTGAGAAATGTAACAGTGTCAACAAGAACACATGATTCTTGATTAGACTAAGTCATTTGAAACCCGGGTGGCATTTCACTTCTACCTGAACATAGGTCTCAAAAAAACAGTGTTATACTGCCCCCTACAGTATCTGGGATTAGAAACTAATATAATCACATTACTTCTTTACTGTAGTTCACTTTTTATGTTTCTTATACATTTATTGCTTAAACTTGTCACACACGCCACCAAAAAGACTGATTATAACCTTTCAACTGTAAAGCTGGCCTATGATTTTAAACAAGTGCCATTTTGACATGTTAGCATGGCCAAAGTCTTTTTTTTAAACATTTTTTAAATATTAATAATTAAAAATAAGACTATTTTGTTATTGTTTATTTTGATGTATGTACCAGGACTCCCTGGAAGGCAGTATTGATACTGCATGGATTATCCCCTGATAAAATAAAGTATTGTAACTAAACAGTTCACTAAATAGGCCATAAATAAATAAAAAATACTATAATTAATGTGTAATAATTACTACCAATAGTAAGTTGGTAAGAATTTAAAGGAAAAATGGGACTGTATTCTACAGGCCAGCATACTAAACATATATGCATATATACACAATAATAAATGGATATTTATTTGGATTTAAAGGGATCTCTATGTTTTTCCAATTAGATTTAAGCAGTTATGTTAAAGAAAACTCCTCTAGAAACTGCTCATAAACTCAACACAGCTCTCTTAGCTCATATAACCTTCTCAGAACTTCTTTATTTTCCTGTAATTACTACAAAACTTCCAAGAAACTTTCAAGGAAATATTTAGGGAATTACATGACCTGTAAATTAAAGCATTACTCTTTATATAAAAACATGTTCTATAATGAGGAAAGAAATTCTGGATTAGTCAGATGTCCCTTTAAAACACAAAGTCATAAGTACTCACAGTATTCTGCAACTATTTTGGGAATCCTGCATGACTGAGGAGAAACATACACGACAGTTGCAGGGTTCTTCTTGGCATAATCCACCACCCCCTCTTCAATAAACTCCCTGAAAAACAAGGGAAGAAATGCTGTGGTCACTCTGCTCTTTCATTGGTAGGTAATTCAGGTTTCGTTGAAACATAGAGCAAGATATTGTACATTTCACTAAACTACATTTACATGACAGCCAGATAAAGACCGACGAAACATACGATCAACATATGAAATTACAGATTATACTCCCCCAAAATTTTAAATGTTCTTATTTTAAACAGAGAAACAATAAATCCTGATATTTAAGATAGAACCAGAGACTTTGTACTTAAAAATGGCGTTATGGCTTTGGATGAATAGTGATAAATGCTGTCACAATTGGAAGAAACCTAAAAGTTGTATGAAATAAATTAAAATTATTGAAGGTAAAAGCAGTAAATTTGGCAATTTGACATAAAAAAATGACTCAATTAACAAAATAGTTGCCAGTTTCTATTAGAATTGAGTTTAAGGTTCTTTTACTCACATACAAAGCTCTTAATGTTATAGCACTTACAAACATTGCAGACTTAAAAGTCAACTGAAGACCTACTTATTCACACAGGCTTTGAGTTAATGTACTAAGTTTAAAACAAATAAAATAGATTTATTATCTTACATTTCATGTGTATATATATTTTACCCTAATTTTATATATTTTATTTATTGTTTTGTTTTTAATGCCACACTGTAAAGCACTTTGAGCTGCATTTCATGTGTCAAACGTGCTATATAAATAAAGTTATTAATATTAATATTAGTAGTAGTAATTACTTTTCTGTCAATCGATTAATCTAATCATTAATAATAATATAATATATATTAATATAATATAATATAACTAATAAAGGAATATCTTATCTTAAGCTATTGGACTACTTGTAGGCATGCTCACGTGTTGTGTGCAAGCATCTTATTTTCTATAATAACTTGTAATTAAACCTGTCAAATATTGTAGTAGAATAAAACATTGTAGTGGAGTAAAAGTATAAAGTTGCATGAAATAAAAACACAATTACCTCAATTGTGTACTTAAGTACAGTATCAGCACATCCCAGCCATCCATACACAATCATGATTATGCATACATTGTTTGTTTGTTTGTTTTCTTATTACCTGACTCCCAACGAGCTCTGTGCTTTCTTGGAGAAGATGAGTGAGATCCGTTTGAGCTGGCAGACGTACCGACCGACGCCGTTCTGGAGAACACTCTGGAGGAAGCGGCTCGGCGTCCCTCTGGAGGTCATCGTTCAACCGCCAACCAACGGTTATATGGCAATTCAGACACTGTCGAAGACCGTTGGACGCAAATCAACCCGTTACAGCCGTTAGAGAGCCGTTAGAGA